CTTTATTCCTCTCTTTTTAGTATTTTCATTTATTTTTTTGTTTGTTTTAGTTGACTTTATTAAGATGCAATTTACCAAAAAAACCTGATGGATTTTAAGTGTACCATTCAATGAATTTTGATAAAGGTGCACACTCATGTAACCATCACCACAATCAAGATACAGAACATTTCTGTTACCCCCAAATTTCTTTTATGCTCCTTTACAGTAAGTCCTCTGCACTTCCCATCACCACAGTCCCTGACAAACATTAATCTTCTTTATGTCACTGTAGTTTTACCTGTGATTATGCAGCATGAAGTTGTAGGAGTCTGACTTTTTTTTCCACTTACCATAATGCTTTTGCGAATCATGATTGTTTTCTAATCATTCCATTTTCCCTCTCTATTAGCTTGGGAGTTATATACTCTATTATTATCTTTTAGTGGTAACAGTTGGGAGACAGTTCTCTGTGGGCCCCTCGTGTTTCTGTATATCTTGTGAGCAGAGATGTGACCTTTGCTCCCAGCTCTCTGTACAAGAATGTTTGTATAGTGACCAGCCTTGGAAGACAGAGATAGGGTCTCTCTCTAGAGCAGAGGGGAGGTTTGCTTACTCTTCTATATAATAAAGCCAGTATCTTTCTCCAGACAAAGCTTAAACAGATTTGCTTATTGACAATTACAAAAGATTCAAGTTCCCTGCACTCAGGGTTTCTCTCCTCTGATGCAACACGAGCAGGTATCACCTGACCCTCTTCATGTCACCCTGTGGGAACTGGATCCCAGGGAATTGGCACAAATGCTGATACTCTGGCGACTGCTATTGCTGTGAGTAATAAATTGCCCTTTGTCTTTGATCCAGGAATCTTGTGTCTTCTGCCAGCATCCATGAAACTGTGTCAGACTAACTTGTTAGTTTGCAACTAGGGCAAAATCTGAAACCCCTCACAGTTCTTGATAGAACCCTAGAGATTGTAACACACATCCTTGGCCTTCCTGAAGTATAATTGGTACTCTAGAATCTTCCAGAACAATTAACGGGCCTTAGAGCTCTTTCACTGCATTTATTCCCCTCCAGGCTTCTATGGCATGTACTATTTTTTTAAGTTAATACTTTTATTTTAAACACAGTGAAACATTATGCTGTCAGTATCCACTTAGATTTGCCCACATATCTACCATTGTCATGGTGCTTCATTTTTTCCCTGCATCTTTATCTTTGATCATCTGGGATTAGGTTTCTTCTACTTGATGAAAATACTTTTGTATTTCCTTTTGTTTAGGTCTGCTAATGACAGGCGGGCTCTCCCTTATTTTTTAATTCTCACCCGAGGGTATTTTTTCCATTGCTGTTTAGAGAGAGTGGAATGAAAGGAGGGAGAGAGAGAAAGAAAGAGAGAAACATCTTTGTAAGAAAGACACACCAATTGGTTGCCTCCTGTGCACGCACCAACAGGGGCCATGCCTGCAACTGAGGTACGTGCCCTTGGCCGGAATCGAACCCAGGACCCTTCAGTCCTTGGGCCAATGCTCTAACCATTGAGCGAACCGGCTAGGTCCTTTTCTTTGACTAGTGAAATGTTTTAATTTCAGCTTCATACTTGCAGGGGTTTTTTGTTTTGTTTTTGCTGGGTATAGAATTCTCTTTGGTATTTATTTTGTTTTAGCTCTTTAAGGATGTCATTTCATTATCTCTGGCTTCCACTGTTGGGAAGCCAGCTATCGGTGTAATGGTTGTCCTTTGAAGGTAACCTTTTTCCTCTGCTATTTTAAATTTCTCCTCTTTGCGTTTTGTTTTCAGCAGTTGTAATAGGGCACATGTGTGAGTTACCTCTATGTTATAGTGTGTGCTCACCAATTTGTGGCATTCTCTGGTATTGCTGTGTAACAAACTACCCCAAAACTTAGTGGTTGAAAATGGTATCAGTTATTTAGCTCACAAATCTGTAATTTGAGTGGAACTCAGTGAGAAAGGCTTAATTCTGTTCTACACGGCATCAGCTGGGGTGGCTTGAGTGCAAGGTCCACTCAAAATGCCTCACTCAGCTGGCAAGCTGGTACGGGCTGTTGGCTGGGAGTTCATCGGAGGCCGAGGGTCCAGGACCGATTGTCATCTCCATGGTGCTTCAGCTTCCCCGGGGCATGATGGCTGGACCCAAGAGAAAAGAGGTAGAAGCTTCCACCAGTCCCTTAAGGCCATGGTCCAGGAACTAGGGCAACATCACTTCTGCCGCATTCTATTGGTAAAGCAGTTGCAGAGCCAGATTAAAGAGCAAAGGGACAGAAATTCCCTCCCGGTGAGAGGGGTGTCAAATAATTTGGAGCCATGTTCTAACCCCTACGAGGCCCCTAAGTGTGGATTTCTTCCCTCCTGCCCTTCCCCCCCCCTCCTTTTTGGTCGACATGGGCTCAGAGGTTTTTTAAATCCATGTTTTTCATCAGTGTTGGAAAGTTCACAGTTATTAACTCTTCACATATGGCTTCTGCTCAATTCTTTTTTATTCTGTTTTGGTGGCTCTACTTATATGTATGTTAGATCTTTCACTATATGTTCTATGTCTTTTATCTCCCTGTATTTTCCCATTTTTTGTCTCTTCGTGCTTTATTCTGTTCGCTCTTTTCTGACCTATTTCCTATTCACTAGTTTTATCTTCAACATTGTTTAATTTGCTACTTTACCTAGCCATTTTCTTCATTTGACAATTGTATTTTTAAATTCTGCACTTTCCACTTGTTGTTTTTTATAGTTTAAAGTTCTTTCCCAGAATTGCAAACCTTCTATTTTATCCTCTTGAATATTGTCACAGTTATTTTAAAGTCTGTGTCAGATAACTTTAATATTTGCAGCCCTTCCCTTATAGATCCGTTTCTGTTGGTTTTCTTTTATATTGTCTATCTCCTCATGTGCCTGGTGAGTTTTGACTGTGCTAGACTTTGGATTTGCAACAATGCTTGTAGAAATCATTTGAAGCCTAGTTCGATGTTTCCTTTATGTTTGCTTCTCCCAGATACCTGGGAGCACGCTCACTTAGGACAACCTGAGTCCAGTTTTTGGAACTGAAGTTATCTGAAGCTGAGCTACAGTCCTTGTGGGGTGTGTTTCCTCGTGGCCCACCCTAGGGTGAAGACTTTCAGGACCTCAACCCACAATCAGAGGTGGTCACCAGGGCTCTCTCCTTGCAGACCCTGGCTTCCAGTTCCTGCCCCTGGAGCCTGTGAGGTTGTTGGTGTTCCTGCATGCCCCTCCAGCCTCCGAGTAACAGCAGCCTAAACACCAGGCTCACTCCCTGGGTTTCCATCGTCCCTTCTAGCCCAGCAGTTCTTCACTGTCTGTCTAGGTATCCAGCGCTGCGTGCAGATATGTTTTCTAATTTGTCCAGTATTTCTGGTTGTCCCAGCCTGTGTTCTGGTTCACGTTACCTGGTCTGTCATGAATGGAAGTGGAAGACCTCAGAGAGACCCATGTTCTTTTGGGTCACTCCCATCAGCATCAAAAGCTGGGTTACACTTTCCCCATTAGAGGCCTTTATTTGCCCCTTTGCAGAAAACTCCGCATTGTCTATATTTGCTGTCTCCAGTTTTTCATATCCCGCTTTTTGTTAAACCCACGCTAATCAGGCTTTGGTTCCCACATTCTACCAAAAGTACCCCTGTCAAGGGCACTCATGCCTCAGTGATGCCAAATCCAGTGACCAATTCCAGCTGTCATATCTGACACCAGTGGAGCACTCTGGCGTTGAGAGGTTGTTGAGATGAAACAAAAGCCAGCCATGGAGCCTGAGGAACAGCCCTTCCATATCCTATTTTGTTTTTTCTACAGCACTTTTTACCGGATAGTCTGTTTTACATGCTTCCTTATTTTGATTTCTACCTTACTCATTTCGTTGCTCTCCCCCATGAGAACAGGGGCTCCAGGAGGGCAGGGCACATTGTTGGATTTGTTCATTCATTTACCCTCCACTTAGAACAGTGTCAGGTGCAGGTCAGGCTGTCAGCAGATGTTTGTTAAGTATTTGCTCTCCCTGGGAAAGAAAAGGCTGGTGCTGTCCAGCCACACTCTGGGCACCACCTCCACTGGGCCCTGGCTGGCTGCGGAGCTTGTACAGGCGTGTTGTGTGGGAAAACACCTGGCGTGCTGAGCCCTGGCCAGAACTTCAAGTGACCATCACCGACAAGTAATTATTTCAGTCTCTAAAGGGCTTTTGCGTTGCTATCTAGTCAGCCCTCACAGCACCTCTGTGGGGTGGATGGGACTGCTGCAGTAGCCTCTTGTTTCAGAGCCACCTCCGAGAGGAAGGGACCTGTTCCGGGACCACACTGCAGCTGTAACAGCAGACCTCGGACTCAAACACTGCTCTGATAATAAACAAGAACTTTTCTTCTGATTATAAAAATAATATGAACTCGTAGAAAATTTAGAAACTACAGGAATGGATAAAGAACATTTAAGTTATTAAGCTGCCACACACATTTTGACGTGTTTCCTTTCAGTCTCTTAAATACAGTTTAGATCATGTATCATACAAAATTTGTATCCTGCTTGTAAATGTAACATGATAAAATGACTTTTCCCTGTTCTTTAAATATCTCATTTTTATAGCTGCATAATGCTTCACCACATAAATGTACCACAGTTTATTTACTATTCTATCGCTGGACATTTAGGTTAAACAACACATTTACTTCCCACTATGTGCGAGGGGCTGGGGACTTGAGGCTGGGGCTTTCAGACATGACAGCCAAATTAGAAAGTGGATATGACAGGGTTTGGGTAAAATAAGGTCTAACGCACCACATGGTGATATTTTAAAAAAAGAGAGAGAGGAAAATCTTTTCAAATAAAAAGAAAGTCCCAACTCCATTTAGGGGTGTGTGGTGCGGGAGGGGAGCCCGGCTGCAGTGGGTCAGTGCACAGCTGAAGGCAGGCGGTGTCCTGTTTGTGGGGACCCAAGGCTCCTGATTCCAGCAGGGGAGTGGGTCGAGGGTCCTCCTGGCTCATTTCTGTGTCTCCCTCCTCAGGCTCTTCCAGCTGGAGACGGAGGGGGAAGCCCTAGCCACCTTCCAGCAGTATTCCTCCCTGCTGCCGCCCTTCTACGAGAGCTCCGCCCGCATCCTGCAGGTCGAGGTCCTGCAGCAGCTCACCGACCTCATCCGCAGCCACCCCAGCTGGTCGGTGGCCCACCTGGCGGTGGAGCTGGGCATCCGGGAGTGCTTCCATCACAGCCGCATCATCAGGTGGGCATGGCTTGCGGGTGGGGCTGGAGGACTGGACCTTTGGGACAGTGTGTGTGGCAGGGTGGGGCCTTAGGGAATCTCTCCATCCTGCCTCAGTTCCCTTCTGTAAACTCAAAAGTTGCCCAGGTGATGCCTCTGGATTAGAGCACAGGAATGTTGGCTACAGTCAGAAGGAAAAACAACATTTCTGGAGTACCTTCCAGGAGCCAGGACCATGGAAGCTGTTTTATACCCATATCATGAACTTGAATTTTCCCAGCACCCCCATGAAGTGTCACCCCAATGAGAGGTTATGTGACCTGTGCAAGGTCATCCCACTGGAGGGGACGGAGGAGGCTTCAGATCCCCGGTGTCTCCTTCCAAAGGCCTGGCTGCCTCCCCTCCAGGACTGGAACACGTCCTCAGACATCCACGGGCAGCATGTGTGTCCGTGGGTGCCCTGGTGAAGGGACCGTGCTGGTCACAGCCCTGTCCTGACGTGGCTGCACCTCCTTTGGTCCTCCCAGACCCAAAGCTAAAAATTCCTGGCCGCCCTTTCCAGTTGACATGCCTGTTCTTGAGCATCGTGGTGTTTAACCTCACAGCAGGCTGTCCATTTCCTAGGGCAGGAATGGCAGGGTGGTTTCTATTTTTTTGTAAATAGAGATATTGAAGCCCAGAAAGGTTAAGTGAATTGCCCAATGTTAGTGAGATTTCTGCCTTTGTAAAAAAATCTTCACCTGAGGATATGTTTATTGATTTTAGAGAGAGGGGAAGAGAGAGAGAGAAAGAGAAACATCGATCAGTTACCTCCCGTACACACCCTGACCAGGGATCAAACCCAAAACCTTTTGTGTTCCTTTGTTTTTTCAATCCTCACCCGAGGATATGTTTTCCACTGCTTTTCAGAGAGAGTGGAAGGGGGAGAGAGAGAAACATTGATGTAAGAGAGACACGTCAACTGGTTGCCTCCTGCACCAGGGCCGGGGATCAAGCCTGCAACCGAGGCACATGCCCTTGGCCGGAATCGAACCTAGGACCCTTCAGTCCAAGGGCTGATGCTCTAACCACTGAGCTAGACTGGCCAGGGCAAACCGGCAACCTTTTGGTGTATGAGACAATGCTCCAGCCAACTGAGCCACCCAGCCAGGGCATGAAACCCTTTGTATGCCACCCCACTGCCCACTGCAGGCTAGTGTTGCCCTGGGGCACATCTCCCATACAGGTTTACAATTGGAACTAAAAGCAGATACAAATCCCATGAGAAACAAATAAATCGTGACTCAGCCTAAGTTTGAACCAGCCCGCTGGAGCCTGGCATGTGTGTTCTTAAGCTCCTAGCCCACTTCCCTCTTCTGCACTTGGGTTTCTCAGTGCCCTGCCCACCTTTGCCATGTCCACTCACCTCTGTGCCCAACCCCACAGCTGTGCCAACAGCACAGAGAGTAAGGAGGGCTGCACACCCCTGCACCTGGCCTGCCGCAAGGGTGATGCGGAGATCCTGCTGGAGCTGGTGCAGTACTGCCAGGCCCAGATGGACGTCACCGACAACAACGGAGAGACTGCCTTCCATTACGCTGTCCAGGGTGACAATTCCCAGGTGCTGCAGGTGAGCAGGGGTGGGGGCAGGGCAGCCAGGACCAGAGACATCTCCCTGTGTCCACAGCTGTCTGGGTCCTTGTGCCTTGGACTCAGATGTAACTCTGGACCTCTCACTGTCCTCCTTGGTCCATAAAGCCCAAGCTCCTTTGTGGAGAGTTCACCCCCCTCTCCTCCCTCCCTCACTTGCCAAGGATACACAGTCTTCTCCACTTTGTTCTGACAACCCTGGGAAAGTCCTCCAACCCAGCAGACAACCAGGCTCAGTCCAGCCAGTGGGTTTAGTTCAGCATTTCCCGAGCACCTCCTGAGAGTCAGACCCCTGAGCGGAGGCACTCGTGGTCCTGTGGGACCCAAGCTTAACTTTTTACAGGAACTCAAACAACAAAATTCTGTCTGACTCCTTTAGGCATTTGCACCAGAGGCATTCCTGTTAAATTTTCAATGAGCTGGGCAGAAAAATAAAAATAAAAACTCTGAGTGAGTAGATCCAGAGATGTTATTGAAAGGCTACTTTAAATATTAGATAGAAAAGACAGACTACTGGACAATATTTTATTGCCTAGAATTACAAGATTCCTGTAAAGGTTATATCCTGTTTCTGCCTTGGCATTGGGATGGATCAACATTACTCCAAAATGTATGGATTCATGCCTAATGATTAGTGGTCTTAGGGAAGGGAATTCACACCACTGCTGACCTCCACCCTCGCTGGGAACCAGGAGAACCCAGCACAGGGCCACACACATCCTGCCTCGAGGAGAGGGCGTGCACGCTCTTATCAACGATCGGGGACAGCTGTGCCTGTCCTTTAGAGCGTGTTTGTCTCTTGCCTGGCCCTGTACTGTTATGTGTGTTCTAGTTAATTCTCAGAATACCTTCTGTGGGTGGGGGTCATCCTCCTCTCCTTGCTAAAGAAACAGGTCCAATGACGTTAAGAAGTTTGCCCAGGGAGGGCCACAGGGCTGGGAGTGGTGGGACTGGCCCTTGAGTTGGGCCACCCTGTTGCGTCCCCAGGCTGCTGACATGCCCAGCTGGTCATGCGGGTACCCAGGGATCGTAATTAACCTCCGGGAGACAGCACAAGTGAGGAAATAAAAGCCTCCCAGCTTGCTTTTTAATACTGGCATTTTTTAAATTGAAAAGATAATATCTGCATATAGCAAAAATAAAATAAAAATTCGAGCAGAACAGAAGGATATACAGTGAAAAGCAGGAAACACTGCCCCTCCCTCCCAGACCCCCAGTGCCCATCCCGAGATACAACCACATTTTCAGTTTGTTTATTTAGAAATTGCCACACGTGCCAGTCACTCCCGGCCCACACCGCAGCCAGCACTGGCTCAGTCAGCCCCCGTCCTCCCTCCAAGGCCCCCCTCCTCTGTGGCTTCTCTAAGTTCTTAGGCGTGTTCTGGTGAAGTCCGGCTTCCCGCCCCTCTGTCCCCAGGGAGACCTGCCAGGGCGGGTGCCGGGGAGGGGCGTGCGGGGGCTCCCCGCGCTGGGCTGCAGCCCACGCTGCTGTTGTGCCGGCAGCTCCTAGGGAAGAACTCGTCGGCCGGCCTGAACCAGGTGAACAACCAGGGGCTGACCCCGCTGCACCTGGCCTGCCAGATGGGGAAGCAGGAGATGGTCCACGTGCTGCTGCTGTGCAGTGCCCGCTGCAACGTGATGGGGCCCCGCGGATACCCCATCCACACGGCCATGAAGTTCTCCCAGAAGGGGTAAGCCCTCGCTTCCCGCCCCGCCCCGCAGGTGCCACGTCTCAGCTCTCACGCCTGTCCTGAGCAGTGACCACCACAGGCTCGTTGGATGCGCATCAGATTCTGGCTCCAAGGGCCGGCCTGCACGAATAAATGTGTAGGGTGTGACTCTCAGCCCACAAACTCCGCTGTGTAAAGAATAAAACATAAAATTGCCCACAATGCACCTTCATTTCTGATCATGAACCTACCTCTATCAAACTGGAGAGATAATCTTAATCTTCCCTGGGGTCCCCCCTCTCCAGCTTTTCCAGGTGGTAGTCCAATGCTAGGATCTCATGCAGCCCCGAGGCGCGGAGGGTCCAACTGACCTGGGGCCTCTTCCTCCCAAACCCACCAGCCTGATCTGCACCCTGTCACGCTGCGGCCTAAGCGAAGCTCAGGAATGGTTGTCAGGGTGGTCCAGGGCCCCACCTGCCTAGGTGCATTGGTCTTTCCTGGTTGGTGACACTGTGGGGACACAGGTCCCAGGCGCATGTCTTAGGGAGCTCTGTAACACTTTCTCATTTCCTCCCTTCTCCCAGACCCTGGAAACCCTGGTCTAAATTCTTCATGTGTGTGTGTGGCGAGTGTGGGGGGAGTGGATAAAAGAGATGACTATCCCAAAATGTTGCCTAGCGGGTGCAATATCTAGAATGAATGAGTGAACGAGTGAATAAGTGAGTCAGCCCCTCAGTCCCAGGCACTGTGCTAGGCACTGTGCTAAGCCCTACAGAGATGGATAAGAGAACAGCTCTAGGACAGGAGACAGAAGTCACCTAAGATCTTCCAGTGCTGAGTGCCGGACAGGCAGCAGGAAAAGGGCACAGGAGGGACCACCCTCCTCAGGTGGGGGAGCAGGCACTCTCACCCTCCGTCAGATTTTTCCTTCCGCCGGGGCCCTGGCTGGTCGTGGGGCATTGCTATCCCCTTGAATGTCTGGACCAAGCTTGGACAAACCATCCTTTCCTTTATCTTTTCAGCACAGACAAGATGAGCTAGAAATTTAAGAAGGACTTGACCAGGTGGTTAGAGACAGAACCACTGCTCTCACCCCCAGGAATCAGGTTCCCTAGTTGCAGGTTGCGACCCGAATGGACACAGCAATGGTCATGCTCTCTTATACCTGAAGGCTGGCACAGTGGCCCTGCTCCTGCTTGGCTTCAGCCACCCTACAGGTTCCAGTCACCTGCTCTGTCCATGTTACGTCCAGAACCCTGGTGGTGTCCAGGTTGCTGCCTCCTCAGATACCCTCGGCCACATCCCCTCCCTGCCCCACCCAGGCTCCCTGCAGGGCCTGCTCAGATCAAAGAGGATCATTGCCTGCATGATGACGCAGGTCGTCTCCTGCCTTGGGTGTGCCCTGTCACTGCACACAGCCCTGTTCCTCAGGGCCCCAGTGGGGGCATCCCTCTGCCGCAGCACAGTAGCCAACAGAGCTGTGCTCGAAGAATCGCAGGCATTAGTGTTGCTGAGAGAGGTTCTGTCCCAGCTCCAATCCAGGAACCCCTCTGCTGTTTGTTCACCTTCCAGGGACTCTAGTTTCACTTACTGAGATGTCTTCAAGGTTCTTTAGTGTTGTAGCATGAATCAGAATTTCCTTCCATTTCAAGGCAGAATAGTACTCCCTTGGATGTGCCACAGTTTGCTTTTCTGTTCATCTGTCGGTGGACACTTGGGTTGGTACTACATTTTGGCTGTTGTGAATAGTGCTGCAGTAAACATAGTGCTTGTGCCCCTTCTTTCAGTTCCTTTGGTTTTATACCTGGGGTGGAGAGCAGCTGTACTCTTAACCACCCCTCCTACTTCTTCCTGCAGGATGCAGTCACTGCATGGAACCAAGATGGGGGGTGAGGGGATGGAGGACTGTTAGGACTGTCTCCATGTTGCAGGTAGACTAAGTGACTTTCCAGAAGTCACCAGTGAGGAAGCTGGGGCTTGACCTCAAACCTGTCTGACTCTAAAGCCAGCAGCACCAGTGAGAGTGATCATTGCTGACTGGAGTTATTAGGGAAGGCTTCCTGGAGGAAGGGGCTTGAGATTTGCCTTGAGGGGCTCATGATACCATAGATATACCATGGTATTCACGCCGGTTGCTTTTGTTGCAACTTTATTTGCAGAAACTCTTCCTAACCAGTAGATGAAGCCCCCAAGACCTCTTCCAGCACCAGGCTCCTCCAGGCCTTCCTCACTATCCCCGGCTCCTCTCTTCCCAGGTGTGCCGAAATGATTGTTGGCATGGACAGCAGCCAGGTCCACAGCAAAGACCCACGCTATGGAGCCAGCCCCCTCCACTGGGCCAAGAACGCAGAGGTAGGTGGAGTCCGGGGAATGGTGGGCAGGGGCAGGCCCCTGAGCCCTTTGGTCCTCAGTTTCCTGAGGAAGGAGGTTCCTGAGGGGACTCTAGAATGGCACTTGGGCAGTTGATGTCACAGTGGACCCCCAGGCAGAGAAGGCCAAGGAGAGGTGACATCCTGGCATTGCTCTAGTGCTCACTGGCAAGGTGGCAGTGACCCTTCTGTTTTCTCCTGTATGTATTGGGGGTCAGATGTCCTTCCTCTGGGAGTGTGAGGTCAGCAAGGTAGTGCGGGAGAAAATGCTTTATAACTTGTCAAGTCCCTCATAAACAGAAGGTGGTGGTTGATGGAGGTGCTGCTGCTGGCTCTAGCAGTGTCCCCTCTGAGGCCTCTCCCTATACCACGCTCCATTCTCCTGGGAGTATGGGGGCCTCTGGTCTCTCATCTCCAGGCAGCACAGTTCAGCAGTGCACTGGAGGGCCCCAAAGATCACGGCCTGCTCATAACTGTGAGGGACCAGGAGGAGATGCCAACCTTTGCAGGGTACCGTATTCATGCCAGGCACTAGCACCAAGTCAGGCCCTTTTATGTATGTTTTGTCATTCATTGTCACCACACTGTGAGGTAGGGACTTGCATTCCCATTTTACAGCAGAGAAAGCTGAGGTGCAGGGGGGTACAGTGACTTATCCAAGCTCAGACAAGGATGACGTGGGGCTACTCAAGCCTGTTGAGCTTTGAAGTCCAGGCTCCTCTCCATGGTCCCAGGCTCCTTAGAGCTGCTGGGCGAGCAGGGGTGTGTGTTGCCAAGTCCCAAGGAAGGATCCTACCTTGGCAAGGACCCAGGGAAGGTGACAGGGAGTGGAGCCATTCTGGGACAGAACCCGGAATAACTTTTTTAAAAAAGATTTTTTATTGATTTTTACAGAGAGAGGAAGGGAGAGGGAGAGAGAGAGAGAGAGAAACATCGATGTGAAAGTGAAACATTGATCGGCTGCCTCTTGCACGCCTCCTACTGGGGATCAAGCCCACAACCCGGGCATGTGCCCTGACCAGGAATCGAACTGGCAACCTTTTGGTGCACCAGATGACGCCCAACCAACTGAGCCACACCAGCCAGGGTCCGAAGAACTTTTGCAGGGGCACAGGTCCTCTGAGCTCCAGGGAAGGACTCTGACATCTATTAGAACAGTCCACACATCTTCAGCTTTTTGTCCCCTAGCTCTTGGGATACTGTGGTGTGGAAGCCAAGGTCTAGAGCCACCCCCAGAACTAGGCCTGCCACCTGGGCTCTTCTGTTGCTGGAGCTTTCCAGAGGCCCAATCCCTGAAGGCCTCTGAGGGAGGAAGTGACAGTGCCCAGGTGCCACAGGCCACAGCGCCTTCGAGTGCCTCGCTGACTCGGGCCTGGGCCCTCTCTCCCACAGATGGCTCGCATGCTGCTGAAACGAGGCTGCGATGTGAACAGCACCAGCTCCGCGGGCAACACAGCTCTGCATGTGGCCGTGATGCGCAACCGCTTTGACTGCGTCATAGTGTTGCTGACCTACGGGGCCAACAGCAGCGCCCGCGGCGAGCACGGCAACACGCCGCTGCACCTGGCCATGTCGGTGAGCTTGGCCTTCCCCTGCGCCTCGCACCCCTCCTCCCATGCCCCCCTTGACGTGTCGGACGAGAAGGGCAAGTGCAGTTCATGTCACCTCTGCCAGCCTTGGCGTCCCATCTGGGAAGTGAGGTGTCGGTGCCCACCTGGCGGAGTTGTCGAGAAGAGTAAATGGTGGACACTCGGTAGCTATGAGGACTGTGTGAGTGACACACGCAGGGCCTGGCGCAGAGTGACTGGCCCCAGGCGTTAGTCCCCTTCCGGCCTTACAGGGAGCAGCCAGCTCGTGCTGTTCTCTTCTCCCTGGTGGGCTCCACGCTCCGGGAGGCAGGGCCGCTTCCTCACCTGGGCGCCGAGGCTAGTGCTGGTCACGCCTGTTGGTTTAAAGAGCGTAGTTCCTGCCCCCGAAGGCCCCACAGCCTGAGACAGCTACAGTAAGAGCATAGTGCATGCAGGGGAGGGAGTGCTGCTGTTACAGACGTGCGTGCGTGTGTGTGTGAGTGACTACAGCAATACCACATGCGCAGAAGTCTGTGTAATCAGCCTCTGCATGAGAGAATGAGAGAGACCCCTGGGACTCTAAAAAGAAGTCGATTTAGGACAAATTCAAAGACATCTATTTTATACCAAAGGTCATGGTCATAGAGCAGTGTTGCTTAAGAGGCTGAAATTATAAATAAAGCCATGGACATTTTTAGCACTGAATGGGCCCTTAGAATTATCTGGCTTAGCAGCTCTCAAATGTCTTAGTTTAGTTGGTCCCTTTATACTCTTAAAAATTATTGAGGATCCCAAAGACTTTTTTTTATATGAATTTTATCTGAATATAGTCACCATATTAGAAATTAAAAATGAGAAATTTTCAAAATACTCATTAATTCATTCAGAAATAGCCATAATTTACCAATCACATACTAACATAAATGATATTTTCATGAAAAACAACTTTTTTTCCTAAAACAAAAAAAGAACTGAATGAGAAGAGGTGGCATTGTTTTACATTTTTTGAATCTTTTTACTGCTCGGCTCCAGAGAAGACGTGACTCTCTTGTCTGCTCAGTTTATCCTGTTGCGGTCTGTTGTCGGATACGTCGAATGTGAAGAAAACCTACCTTCACAGAGATGTGTTGCTGGAAAGATACACAGTTACCCCTTTCCAGATAACTGTGACCTTCCCAGTATTGTTCCATAGCTCCATGGGGCGGATTCTGACAAGTTGGTTGTGGTGGGCTCTGCCACATCCACACACTTTTCACACATTAATGGCCACCAGCACCGTCACCTTTGGGTGGATCTTCCACCCACGCATGACTTTGTGTCATCCCTGGAAAATATCGGTCATTGAGTATGAACAGCTTCTAAAGATGTTCACCCACTTCATTATGAAAAACCCACATTTGTAAACATCACCATCATCTCATCAGAAAAGCCTTTAAATTTGGGGAAGCTGTCAAGCCCATCGTGGTGTACACAGGTTTTCTGGAATTCTAGTATTTGTTTGAAAGCTTAAATTTTATCATTGGCACAAAATACTGCCAGTTGTTTTTCTGGAAGCGACAGGCTCCCTGCTTTCATTTTTGAGAAAATGTCTCGTCAGTACCCAGGCTGATCAGTTGTTTGCCTGGCAGTCAGTCTTTCTTCTCGAGTGAAAACTCTGTTCCATGAAAACAAGCTGCCAGTTCTGCTCTCAGCTCCGACAGCTGTACAGGGGCTTTCCCTTGAGACACACGCTTTGTTGTGCCACAGAAATGTCTTCTCCACACTCCATTGTATGACAGCATCCATAAGTGTAGAATTTAACCGAATTAATAGTTCTTACTGCGTCATCAAGGGCATTCTTAGGAGAAACAGGCTTGTTAATGAGTTTATTTATTCTTACTGTGAGTGTGAGGCAGAGAAAAAAAGTCATGGCAAGGTACCAGTAGTTTTACTCACCACTGTTTTTACACCATCGGTGCAAAGGCAAATATCTTGGTATTTTCATGAAAACAGTTTTAGCCTTCCAAGCCTTCTAAAAGGGCCTCACGTATTCATGGGGTCCATAGTTCTTACTTTGAGAACTGCTGACGGACTTCATTGTGTCCCAGACTACGGTCCGTTGCAATACCATCTTCATGGTTTTGGGCCCATTCATGGACCACTTTTACAGTGACATGCTGGATCATTTCTTTGAGCTGGCTTGCTTTTAAACTTACTTAAAGTTACGTTGAAAGAAATGTTGTATCACTGCCATAAGTGGTCAAACAAAAGGTAACAAAAAAAGAACTATATAACTAATGTTTAAAGCACACATTTACCTGTGCCCATACAAATCCTAATGGTACATGAACAACTGTTGGGACAACTGCATTCTAGACACACCTCTTTACTCTCTAGGCAAGGAAATCAGGCCCCGAAAAGAGGCAGGTAATAGGACCAGAGCTCTGGCCTCCTGGCAGCCAGTCTTCGGGCCTGTCCTGGGAGACCAAGCCATGCCTCACCCCGCGCAGCCTCCAGATAGATGTTAACTGCACAGCGCTGTGTGCAGGGAGGACATGTGCTTGGTCACTCCCTCAGAACTGGCACCCTAGACAGGATGTGCAAGACAGTCTTCCCTTTCCTTGCTCACCCTCTCCTGCTACTCCAGAAAGCAATCAGCAGCCGACCCTTCAGTGTCCCTGTGGCTCCTGGGTCAGGGGTCAGAGATGTTTTGCTTCCTGTGAGCAGGAGCTGGTGGGGCTGCAGGCTGGTGAGTCACCTCCAGTTTCTACCTGGGTTTTGAAGCCCTCACCTGGGGATGCTGAGCCTGCCTGTCAGGGCAGCAGCCTTCAGACTGTAGACTTTGGAATATCGGGTTGATGTGGTGGGAGATCAAAGGTCCCAGAGCCTCGGTGCTGAGGAGAGGCCCACCGAGTTGATGGGTAGAGTGGAAGAAGCTGGGGTCCCTTTTCACTCTGTTTCCCTGAGCTGTTGACTATTTTCCTCCCACTCCATCCCTACCAGAGAGGCAACGTGGAGATGATCAAGGCCCTCATTGTGTTTGGGGCAGAGGTGGACACCCCAAATGACTGTGGGGAGACTCCTGCTCACATAGCCTCCAAGATCGGCAAACGTATGTGCTCATCACTCTGGGTCCAGGGTTGGGCTGGGGTAGGTGGGGTGCCAGGGCAGGAGAGGAGGGAAGCCACAGCTCTCGGGTACCAGCATCCTGTTTGTACCCACCCAGTTGCTCCCTGCACAGGGTTTCTAGGAGGACCTGGGAGGCTGAGACGGGAAGCTTCTGTTTCCAGAACCTGGGGCCCTGACCAGTAGATGGAGCCCACCAAGGGCTTGCCAAGCCAGTGTCCTCTCCTGTGAGGCCCTGTCCCACCTTAGGGTGCCAGGAGGCAGGGGGGTGGGATGGGTGGCAGCAGCAGCCCTCTTCCTCAATCTTGGGGGATTTGCTGATGTAAGCACTACACAACTGTGCATGCATGCCCCGTGCTCACAGGCACGATGCACACATCACGCTGCACAATTGTGCATGCGTGCCCCATGCTCACAGGCACGCTGCACGCATCACACTGCACAAGTGTGCGTGCAGGCCCTGTGCTCAGGCACTCTGCATGGACTGCATGCTCCCTTGGTGAGCCTTGGCTTCAGGGCTGGAAAAAGCAGACCCTCCTCACCAGAAGCCTGGAGCCCCGTCTGGAGGGCTTCCAGGAGCTGTGGAGGTTGCTGTGGGTGTGTACCCACCAGTGTGTGCAAGCATGTGTGTATACGTGTGCATACTACTTCTCAGGGCATCCTTTTCAGTCAGCCCGTTTGTTAGATGGGCATAAATGCCCTTTCAAGCTCTGAGGGAGACTCTCCCTCCAGCAGTTTTGAGAATTGCTGAATATGGAGCTGGGAGTCCTGCCTTCTTGACGAGTCAAAAGGAAAGAGGGAGTTCCCAGAATACTCAGGCGGGCAACACTTTCCGCAGGCCACCTCAGCACCTTCCCTGGCCCCAGGAAGTTGCTTTGGATGTGGCATACTAGAGTCCACATGCCCTGGCTAGGTGGGGTCGGGGCACCTCGGGCTCTCCCACATACCTGGGCAGCCTGGAAGATGGAAGAGGGAGCCATGCATGGAAAGGAGGGGCCTCTCACTTGCATGAAACATCAGTTCTGATCCTGCGCGATCTCCCCCTCCCCACACTGTCATCAGTTGTCACCAGGAAGACAGTCTTAACTCTGCTGAGAGCCATAGGGGCCGACCACCACCTCCCACTCCTCCCAGAGGCCCCAGCGGAGCCGTGCTCCCCAGCAGCACAACATTTCTTCTGCCCGGAAAGATCTCAGCCCCCAACGATCAGCTTAAACAACCTAGGTAGGCCCCTATCCCCCCCCTTCACACACACACTGTGTTCCCTCCTCTTCAGCTGGTTCCCAGACCCTCAGAACAGAGCTCCTGAAGGAAACGGGGGCCCAGTGTGGAAGCCTTTGAGATGAGCAGGGAGGGGGGACGGGCACGGCATATTAGCCTCTGGAGGCAGCCAGCAGCCCCATAGAGCCCAGAGGCCATTGGGTCCCTGGCTAACATCCCACGGTCCATTTTTTCTGTGAGGATGTCCTGGGCACAGGGCTCAGATCTGGGCAGGTCCTGGCACCCATGAGGTGGGTGTTTTCATGGCCTCTTTGTGTCCCTTGGGAGCTCAGAGTGGGTAGTGAGGAGTGCTGTTGGGGGTCCAGAGCCACTGGCACTCTGGCTTCAGCAAGGAGTGTTTCTGCTGAATCTCTGTCAGGCCTTAGGCCTGTGTGTTCCCCACTGGCCCTTTCAGTGATCTATAGGCTTTGATCATGAAAGGCAACCAGCATCTGCCCCCAGGCATCCTTGGTGCCCATGGAGATGCCCTGGGGAGACACTGGGTCTCCTGTGAGCTAGCCCCCCAGGGCCCTAGATTGTTTGGGAGTGGGGTCCCCTGAACAGGGCAGTCAGAAACCCATCCTTGGCAAGTTCGTCTCTTTTTTTTTTTTCTTCTTTGCTGTTGGGGAGCGAACCAGCACCTCCAGCCTGGGTAGCCCAGCCAAACCTAGAGTTCAGGAGAGGCAGAGCCAGCAGCCAGTAGTCCTTCTGGCTCCGCCTCTGTCCTCCCTCAGCCCATCTCCATTCAGAACCTGTCCCCCATCTTTATCTCTCAGTTTTACAGGCAGTCAGTCACCCAAGCCAGGCTGGACGGTGGGCCGGGGGCACAGCATCAGATGGGTAATGCCCAGGGCCTAGAGGTGCCACAGAGCCTGCCTCACCCTCAGTTAGCTGTAGCCGGGTTCCCTCCTCTCCTTTTTCTCAGCTGCATGCCGGCACATGCACCCTTGCTTACCTCCCTATACCTGGCACTCTGTCCGCTGCCTCTCCTGGCCGTCCCCCACTCATCTTGCCCACTCTCTGGCTGCCTGCCCTGGTGAGAGGGGTCCTCCCGCCTTGCTGCCTGCCTTCCTGCTTTGCTGCTTTTAGACTCCCTGCATGGTGGTGTGAGGGCCTGCAGGTCCGGTGACATGGCCCTGCTGGGCCAGGCACCCGGCCCGTCTGCTCATCAGGAGGGCAGCTCATGCACTGGGTGGGCACAAGGGAAATGTGAATGGAGCGGATGAGTGCATCCGAGTGAAAAGGCCACTGAGCAAGTTTCCTGAGAGATCAGAGTTGTCTGAAGAGTGGTTGGGGTTTCTCCCAGGAGCCTGTGGGCTCTGGCTCAGCTGTTTCCTGGGACAAAGAGCCCTTCCTGGGGGCAGCAAGTAGATGCTCCTGCTAGGGACAGTGGGGTGAAGGCACAGCTTCAGATTTGCTCCAGGACCCATGGGGGGGACCTGGGATCTGCCTGGCCTCTGCCCACCCAGCCCTGTGCCCCACAGAGCTGCAGGACCTGGTTCACATCTCCCGGGCCCGGAAGCCAGCCTTCATCTTGAGCTCCCTGCGGGATGAGAAGCGGACGTAAGTGAGGAGGGAAGGGGGGCCACGTGAGGGGCCTCTGCCAGGTGCCCACAGAGGGCTCGAGGCTTTTGTCTAGTCCTCCCACAGTCCTGTGAGGCGGCTTGAGTCCTCTGTAGTTCACAGCCAGGAGACTGAGTCTTTAGAGAGCCTGGGTCTGCCCCTTCGCCAGTGGCCATGCAGGCTCTGGGTCACGTGATGGAGCTGGCTGCAGTCCTGTTCTTCCCCTGAAACCCTGTCATGGTTGTGGGGGCAGATGGCCCAGATCCCCTGGGGAGAGCCCAGGGCCTGCTTCCCTCGGATTCCACCCCACTCCTTACCCTTCCGGCCTCCACAGAGCTGGTGGCCTAGGCTGCTTGTCTGAGCACCTGCTGTGTACCCAGGCCCATTGCAGAAGGCGGGCCTGGGTGATGGGCACAGAGAGAAGAAGCCCCTGCCATGTCCTGGACAACAGTCCTTGGGGCCCAGTATCAGTGCCTACAGCATATCGGGCTACCAGGACAGATGTGGTTCCCAGCAGCTGCTCTCTTTGCCTGTCTATTACTATCCTAGCAGCCTTCCTAGGGACATATTAGTAACTGCAGAACCTGAGTGTCTGAGAGGTTAAGTGACTGTGTCAAGGTCACATGGAGTGAGTGTCAGAGCGGAGACAGGCCAGGTCTTCTGAGTCCATGTGCTTTTTGCCACTGCAGGCTCTCTGCTGGCCATGCCCTGGCACCAGCATGGGCAGGGTGCAGGGAGAGCACCCTGTGGGGACTTTCCCAGGCAGGTCTGTGAGCTACAGCTCAGCCCTGCTCCATCTATCTCCATCCCTCCATTGCCAGCCCCGCATCTTCAGCAGGGTCTCTTGAATATTTGCTCCCCTGGTCAGGCCCTGTAGTCCTCCAGCAACAGCATGGCTTCCCCTGCCACTCACTGGGCTTGGCTCAGGGCTGGGAGCTTGTCCAGGAAAGGATGTGGGACCCAGCAGGCCGGCTGCATAGACCTTCATTTACCAGCTGTCTATTATAAATGCTTCCTGTGTGCACTGTACCCACAGCACTGCACAGGGCAGAGCTGGCCCTGCCCTCAGAAGCTTCCAGTCTGGGCAGGGTGGGGGGGTGAGGGGCATTGGGCAGGGAGAAAGACAGTGAACAAGTGAACAAAAAGTGACGCTGATGGAGGGGAGACGTGCTCAACACCGAGGAAGTGGGTGGAGCAGGGTCAGGCTGGACTGGAGGGTCCTGATGGCATCGCGGCAGGCTCTCTCCGCAGTGACTTTTTTTTTAAATCTTCCCCCAAGATGCCCGGCCGGGCATGGCTCAGTGGTTAAAGCGTCGACCTAGGATCCAGGCGATCAGGGTTCGATTCCCGGTCAGGGTACATGCCCGGGTTGCGTGCTGCAGCCAATCAATGACTCTCTCATCATTGATGTTTCTAGCCCTNCATATCGGGCTACCAGGACAGATGTGGTTCCCAGCAGCTGCTCTCTTTGCCTGTCTATTACTATCCTAGCAGCCTTCCTAGGGACATATTAGTAACTGCAGAACCTGAGTGTCTGAGAGGTTAAGTGACTGTGTCAAGGTCACATGGAGTGAGTGTCAGAGCGGAGACAGGCCAGGTCTTCTGAGTCCATGTGCTTTTTGCCACTGCAGGCTCTCTGCTGGCCATGCCCTGGCACCAGCATGGGCAGGGTGCAGGGAGAGCACCCTGTGGGGACTTTCCCAGGCAGGTCTGTGAGCTACAGCTCAGCCCTGCTCCATCTATCTCCATCCCTCCATTGCCAGCCCCGCATCTTCAGCAGGGTCTCTTGAATATTTGCTCCCCTGGTCAGGCCCTGTAGTCCTCCAGCAACAGCATGGCTTCCCCTGCCACTCACTGGGCTTGGCTCAGGGCTGGGAGCTTGTCCAGGAAAGGATGTGGGACCCAGCAGGCCGGCTGCATAGACCTTCATTTACCAGCTGTCTATTATAAATGCTTCCTGTGTGCACTGTACCCACAGCACTGCACAGGGCAGAGCTGGCCCTGCCCTCAGAAGCTTCCAGTCTGGGCAGGGTGGGGGGGTGAGGGGCATTGGGCAGGGAGAAAGACAGTGAACAAGTGAACAAAAAGTGACGCTGATGGAGGGGAGACGTGCTCAACACCGAGGAAGTGGGTGGAGCAGGGGCAGGCTGGACTGGAGGGTCCTGATGGCATCGCGGCAGGCTCTCTCCGCAGTGACTTTTTTTTTAAATCTTCCCCCAAGATGCCCGGCCGGGCATGGCTCAGTGGTTAAAGCGTCGACCTAGGATCCAGGCGATCAGGGTTCGATTCCCGGTCAGGGTACATGCCCGGGTTGCGTGCTGCAGCCAATCAATGACTCTCTCATCATTGATGTTTCTAGCCCTCTCTCTCCCTCTCCTTTCCTCTCTCTGAAATCAATAAAGATATATTTAAAAAAACAACATTTTAAATCTTCCCCCAAGGATACTTTTTCCACTGCTTTTCAGAGAGAGTGGAGGGGAGAGAGAGAGAGAAACATCAGTGTGAGAGAGACACGTCGATTGATTGCCTCCCGCATGCACACCGACAGGGCTGAGATCAAGCCTGCAACAGAGATATGTGCCCTTGGCCAGAACTGAACCCAGGACCCTTCAGTCCATGGGCTGACGCCCTAACCACCGAACCGGCTAGGGCACCACAGTGACATTTAAAGTGAGATGGAGAGATGAGACCAGAGGAAGGTTCCAGGTTTGCGCACAGATGGAGGCCTCGCCCTGGGGCTGGGGGCCAGGCACAGCAGGACTGGGAGAGATGCGTCAGGGCGTGCAGGAGAGCACACACTCGGGAGTCAGCAGGCCTGGGTCCAGACTGAGTCGGCATCATTAACCACCCGTGTGACTGGCGGTCACGTAACCTCTGAGCTTCTTTCCTTCATTCCTTCAGTCATGCACAGGGGTAACGGAGTGTCTACCTCGAAAGGGATGAGGGACATTTATGTGAATTCGTGCTGGCAAAAGCCCCTCACAGCTCCTGGCACGGAGACAGTCCTCTCTCCCTGCCCTTCCTCCCCTGCTGCTCCCACCTAAGCAGAGGGTCCTAACCCTCTGCCACCCATTGCTGCCCAGCTGTAGGATATCAGCCCTCCCCCATCCTTATTTAATTCAAACAGACTTTATCAGGCACCTGAGAGTGAGAACCTAGACCTGACAAAAACCAAGTGGCTATCCTCACAGAGCTCCGAGTGGGGGACAGACCCAGGTGTCTACTTAGGCGGCACCTGGCCAGTTGCCTGCCCCCAGCTGCCCTTACCTTCCTTACGTTTCTCTATTGCACTCTTCACCTCCTGAAATACACATTTATTCCTTTATGACTAACCCCCCCG